GGGCAATTTTGGACGCGGTTACCCCTGGCTAGGCACGCGCGCTGACCGTTCGCATGGCCGACCGTTCGCATGGCCGCCCGTTCGCATGGTCCTCGTCATTAATCGCGACTCCTCGATTGAAGAGATCGCCTCGGCACACAGACCGCCCACGCACGCTCGCCGCGCTTTGTCCGTCGCCTACTTCATCTCCCTCACGCTCGCCTGTGGATTCCGGCGGCTAGGGTTTAGTACTGTTCGGTTCGTTTCGTCTCTATGGAGACCGGCGGCGCGCGGGTGCTGGTCGCCGCGAATGGGCGTCGGGCGAGTCGGAGGTGCTTTCGCCCTGAGAGGACATCGGGCGAGTCGAAGAGGTCGCCATGAGGAGGGCGTCGTCGACCCGCTGCTGTCCGTGGACTCCGACCCGCTGCTGTTCGTCGTACTGGATTCGCGAGGAGCGGACGAGGTCATCGTGCTTGCTCACCGTGGATGGCGCGTGCGGATTCGATTCGCAGGAGGTCGCCCTTGAGACGGCGTGGCGCCGACTCGCAGGAGCTGGATGAGGGCAACGTGCTGGTCCCCGTGGACGGCGTGGCGCTGGACTCACAGGAGCCGGACGAGGTGGTGCCGGAGTCGCAGATGCCGCCGGACTCCATCACGCCGGAGTTGCTGGACTCCATGGAGGTGGTGCCGGATTCCTTGCCGCCGGGGGCGTTTGTATGCGGTCGATGTGGTCTCGTCCATGAGGATCGCGAAGCATGGAACCGTGCGCACTCGCGGTTCTATCCATGCCCTAGCTGTGGTCTCGTCCACGCGGACTACTCCATCGACGCCATGCTCGGCCGCATCAAGGTGGACTGCGAGCTTTTCATGGAGCATTACAAGGGCTTGCTGCCGACAAAGAACGACGCCAAAGCATCGGTAAGAAGCATGTTCTAGATAAATAATGCTAAACTGTTACAAGAATGTCTCTACTACTAATTATAGCATCAATCAAATTGTTTCATGCAGCAAGAATGTCTACTAATTATAACATCAATCTAATTTTTTCATGCACCAAGAGTAGCCTCGGCTTCATGTAGCAATGATGGATCACAAGGGATACAAAATGGCAGCCGATCTTCTCTTTCTAGTGTCTCTTTTTTCATGTGAGGTATCTTGAATTTGTTGCAACCTTTCACTTTCATAGCTTCCATCAAGACACCTTGTAGTGTTAGAAACATCCGGTTTGCTAGGCGTGGCAAGTACTCCAAAAAAGCCTACAAAACAATTGTGCAAGAAATGAATGAATGAGCAAATTTGTTGTTGAAAAAGACATTGAAATATGTGTGAACAATTTGATCAAATTACCTGTTGCATGGTTGGAACAAGTGCTTCTATTGTTTTTGCATTCTTCTTATATTGAATTGCTTGTATAGCTTGAAAAAACCCAAGTCAAGAATGTTGAAATCCGGAGAGTTTGGTGGTTGACAAATTAGGCGAATATCGAATCCTCCTAGCTTAACGGCCTCACAAAAATCCGGATCATCCAATTTCAGATGAGAGGGTGCATTATCCTGTTGGATGAATATTGGTTTACCCACATATTCTCTTGGCCATTTCGCTCTAATGGCCGGCAACACTTGGTTGATCATGAAATCTCTAATCACGTCTCTTGTGATCGATGTAATGGGCTTCATAACCAAGTCTCCACGGACACGGCCGGTTCTCTCATTAACTCTCATAGCCGGTTCATAACAAACAAGAGGAAAACATCCAATCCTACCATCAAAAATACAATTCCCATCTCTAAACCTTGGCCGAGCGCAAACACACAAGAACATGAGCCTAGGGATGTAGTTCTTGTTCTTACAAGTCCGATGGGGTTCATCTTCTTTAGGTAGCAAATAATATCTTTCAGATTTTTGACATAGGTAGAACCATTTCTCATCAATGAGCACAAAGTCATACAACTCCTTAAACCTTGGATCATCAAGCAACTCCCTATTAACCATGTCAACACACCATTGTAACCTAGATCTCTTGTTAGCTTCAGTGAGATATGGCTTGATGCTACTAGAGTGGCGCCTAAGTTAACCTTTTCATATTTAGTGCGGTGCACACATCATCTATAGTCATTCTTTACTTTAGAGGAATATTTCTCAATGCTTCTAAATCAACAGGGATGCGCTTACGGTCTACTCTACCCTTCTTTAGACTAGAAACCATAACTGGAACTGAGTTTACAAGTTGTATTTTACTTCTCCGCCATACCCTCTAATTAATGACTCCTTGATAATCACATTTATGTCATAAACGACTTCTAATTACGATATGGAGGGAGTATATTAGAATTACATGTGCTACTGTTAATTCAATTCAATCGTGCACGCAAGGCCACGTGGTTTTTTACAAGACAAGAGAGTGGTGATTTTTTTTTTTTTGATAATAAGGGAGTGGTGATGTTAACGTCCTGCCGTCCTGCGCGCCTGGTATTTCCCCGAACCTTTCACGCTCTGCCCCTCACCTTTTCTTTCCTTCTCTCTCATCTCCGGCGATGCCACACCTCCGAGGTCCCGGTGGCGTTCGCGGTCGCCGTGGAGGAAGAAGATCCGCGGTGGTGGAGGAGCGTGCATGCCACTCCGGGTTCGCCGCGGCGCGGCGGCGGGACGGCGAGATCGATGCATCCCCGCCATCACCGGCGATGGGGCACCATGTGGCGGGGGAGCGAGAAGATGGATCTACCAGACCTCCCCACTCTTGATTTCAACCGATACCCCAAAACACCACCAATGCCGACATCGGCTGTGAGCCGAGCAAAGCCTTCGCCTGAAAGTCCCTCACCACACGTCCCCGCCTCGTCCCGGGCCACCGTTGTCTTACTGAATGAAGCGTTGCTAAGCGAGGTCAGCCACCAAGGCAACGACTGCAGTGAGCCGCTGCTAGCAGGAGAACTCTGCAACATCGACAAGTATAGGCAAGCATGACCTGTCGCTGCTGCGCCGTCCTGCACGGGCCGCAGCCATCCCGCTAGACACCCGCCACCATGGACGCCACAACTAGTTGCACCAGAGCAAGAATCGCGCTACCAAACCCACTGCATTCGCCATCTCACGAGCTTCTATCCTGGCCCTGAGCACCATCTCACGCCAGTAGCCCACAAATGACCACCTAACTTGCCTATGATATGATTGCCCCAAAAGAGAGAGAACATCATACAAATCAGGACATATATGAGGTGGGATTATTGTGGCGTTAACCGGGAGTGCTGTGCACCACTTCCCTGAAGGTTATATCAAATAGAAAATCCACAGAGCTATTATGATTAGTTAACTCTGCATTGTGATTTCTTTTGCTGGTTTAGGTGTAACCATGTATCTGAAGGAATCAATAAAACAGAGAAATGGTTTAGCATTCACCGGAAACTCAGCCATTTGGCATATTTTGTAATGTAGTTTGCAGGGAGATATGTAAATGGAACTACAATAGTGCTTGATGAGAAGTCACCCAGCTAGTAGTGAAAGAGCTCTTAAAGGTTGTTGAGAAGAAAGTAATGACATCTGATGTTGGCGTGCCATGCAGCAAATTGTTATTGCATCTGTGTGGTCTGTAGCATTTAGGAGTATCTTGCATTTGGATGTCCTGCAGTATTCTTGATTAGAGGTAACTGAAAACCTCTAGCTTCTTCCTTCGAATCTAGTACACTACAGCTAGTTTGTTCTTGGCTTATGATAACCACATCAATTACAGAATGCAACCTTATAATTTGTGACATACAAGGAAATTTTGTTTGCACACCCTTTTACCATAGCCTCACTTTCCTTTCATATTTGCATTGCTAATCAGTTATAGCATGTATATGTATTATTCTGGTTGATCATCTGTTGCTATCTGCTGTCTTTGGTAGGTCTTGTCTCTCGACAGATTGATCAAAGACTTGTCAATGTGATATAGCAGCATCAGGATTATATTAGTTCCTAAATATGTGCTTGTAATAATTTTTTGAGGCTGTGTGCTTTTATTCAGAGGTCACAGTGGCCAAGTGGGTTCATGATTAAAAAGTGTTTATATTTAGTTTCGTGTACTATTTCTTTATATTTTCGTAGTATATGGAGCCACTCCCGATTGGAAATACACTACTCAGAACGAGTAATTGTTTTCCTTTTCTTCTCTTTCACGCGCAAACACTCACTTGTCGAGGAGACTTTGACTTCTGCCACGCGTTGCTTGGCATATCCACCTGCCTACTCTGCTCCATTTGGTTTCTCTCCCAAAGGGTTTTTGTGTAGGGAGAGGTGCAACAAGAGGGCTATGACTATTCTCTCCCATGCAATGCTTTTGCTGGAGTTTTCACTGAAGCACCCACAGCTGCTCTACGGTCAAGTGTTTTTCTCGCCTCCAGGCATCATCTACCATGTCCTGATCTACCAGGATCCTGATTTTCATGCCACCACAACACAATAGTTTGAAACAGCAAAGACCGGGAGGTCTCAAACACTTGTGTTTATGTACAAAAAGGCGGTTTCCTTTCTTTATTGCGACCTTGATGTTTACAGGACACAAAAACTTGTGAAAAATGTCAAAGAAGAAAGCAGAACTGCATGTTTTACCCAACCAGTTCTACTGCTAGCCCCTGTACTTGTAGGCATACCACACCAACCTGTTCGCCAGCCGCAAGCGTCGCTGCTCTGACGGTTACATTTACATGCAACTGAGACCAGGCTGAACGGAAAACTGAGAAATTATAACAAAGGATACGAATTAAACCAAAGAATCTTGCACTTGCTCGCCACTTCTCGCTGCCCGCGGATGCTCGGCACACGTCCAGCGAATACAGTGAAGGGCCGCTCAAGTTTCACCTACCCTTAAACCCTGCAGTTACTTGGACACACAGACACACATGAACATGATCGTGGTCGGGGACATATATGACCACAACGTAGTAGTATTTTGTTAATGTACATCCTACTGCTGAAACCTTGCAAGTGATCTTCACTTGAGTCACTTGTTAATCTACTTGATGTCCTTCCCAACCAGTGCACTTGTTAACCTGGCATGTGGAACGCTTGGCCAGGCCACTGGTAGGCGAAGCTGTTGTTGGCTTGGGGAATGGGGACAACCACGTCGTCGACGGGGAAGTCCATCTCCGCGGCGTTCGGGAACCAGAGCGGTGTGTCCGCCGGCGCCGGCAGCGCGACATGTGCTGCTGCATCTGCAAGTTGCCCGTGCACAAGATGTTAGAGCAGGGGAATCACAAGGCGGAACTCCTAACGGCCTGCAGCTAGAATCAAATAGACTGCTTGGTTGTGGTCGTATCTGAATGTTCGGACACTTACTCTGCAGCAGTGGAACGTTGTTGGCGGCGTGGCCATGGCCATGGAGCATGAAGGCTTCGGCCTCCTGCAGGCTGTGGCGGTGCTCGTACGCGTCCAGCAGCATCTGCTGCACCATCATCTGCCGGAACCGGAACAGAGTACACATGTCAGAACAAGCAAAAACCCATGGAGCTCTGCCCTTCTGTTCTGAGATGGTGGACGACACGACTCACCGTCTGGCCCCTGTTCATCTGCTGCACCTGCAGCGGCCACTGGACGCCGCCGACGTCGACCCTCACGATGTTGAAGATGGAGTCCACGTAGATGGTGCCGTGCGGTGTGGCGTGCATGTACACCTTGTCGTCGGGGCCGCAGGTCTTGGCGTGGTTGGTCGTCGCCTCCCACATGCGGTCGGTCATGCCGTCGCCCAGAATCTGATCCCCCACAGGAACAGAGCAGCTAATCAATCAGTACCAGCACGGAGGATGAACTGAAATGGAGACCAGACTGCGTTCTGATGAAAAGTGAAAAGCGCAGCAAACTCACCGCGCGCAGCTCCTCGGGCTTCACCATGAGCATCCGGACGAACTCCTGCACGGTGCCGACGTTGTTGCGCCTGAGCTTCCTGTGGAACGCGCCTTCCTTGCCGATCTTCTCCAGCCTCCAGACGTCGTCGGCGAGGACGGGCGGGTAGTGCTTGCGGTACAGCTCGCCCCGGTGGTCCCTGACCATGAATGCCTCCGTCATGGCCTCCTGGATCCGGGCGCCGTCGCAGACGGTGCCCGGGACCGCGCGGACGGCGATGCGGAACTTGCGGCAGCGGACCCAGGACGAGTTGTCCGTGAACTGGAGCTCGCCCACCGTGGCGCGCCCGTCGCGCATGGTGAGGCTCACGTCGCCCGTCAGGAGCGGGCGCTTGCCCTCGCGCTCCTTGACGACGTTCCGCTGGAACTCGTCGGCGGACCAGTCCTCGCGGCCGTCCGGCGGGAAGTCGCCGAACACCGGGACCACCTCGACGCGCAGCGCCGCCTGCGGTAGCGTGGCCGGCGAGCCGGTGTCCGCGTCCACGAGGATCACCTCCAGCGGGTTCCCGGCCTCGTCCTCGACCTTGCTGCCCGTGAAGATCGGCAGCTGCGGCGGGGTCCGGAAAGCCAGCTTCCACGCCGCCCGCTCCGCCGGCGGCGTCTCCGGCAGCCTCTCGATGTAGCGCGGGCTCTGCATCAGCCCTGCCTGGAGCTCCTCCTGCACCTGCACGAAACAGAGCGATCAGGATGCCTGCTTGCTCCTCGGCTTGATCGACTCGGAAGAGGAAATGGGAATCGAAGAGCTGTGTGGCTTACCACTCGGCGGAGGAGAGGCTCCAGACACATGAACAGGCTGTGCATGTGCTTCTGCATCATGGCCTCCCGGATCACCCTGGAATTCGACGCGAACAGTCAGTCAGTGATGCTCTAGAACCGAGTGGCCATTAATGAGCTCGCCAGCTCGGAAGAAGAAAGAAAGAAAGGAAGGAAGCAGGCGCGGGCTCCCGTACGTCGAGAAGGACGGCAGGCGGCGCATGCGCTTGTCGTCGGGCTGGTCCCCGTCCTGCTCATACCCGTTGTGGAGACGCTTCGGCGCTGCCATTGCTGATCTTGCTATCGCAGGGATGATCGTTCACGGTTTCTTGTGAGCCAAGGTCTCGAAGCTATTTTCAGAGAGAAGGGAGATCCGAGCAGAGTGATTGACTGAGCTGCTCGAGTTGGAGGAGGATGATTTGGTGTGGTTTGGGCAGGGTTGCACGGTAGCGCCCGCCATTGCTTATATAGGGCCGGGACGGCGCTCGCACAGTGTGCGCGAGGGAAAAGGAAGGTGGGAGGAAGGTGCCGGGAAGGTGGGAGTAGCCGCTGCCGAGATGACGTCATCCCCCGAGATGTCATAGACTGAGGAAGTGAGGAGAGCTGGGAGGTCGACTCCCGCGGCTGCGACGTGTCCTGTCTCTCCTCAGTCCTCACCGGCCGGAGCTGCCCTGCATATATGCCTCTGTTTTTTTGCTGCGGCTGAAATCGCTCGGCCCGCCGGTTGATCACAAAAGCAGCCGCCATGCCTGCAGCGAAACCAAACCTCTTTTTTCCTTGATGAATTCATCGGCCAATCTTTCAGTCCTATTTCGTCACAAAGAAAAATCTTTGGGTCCCTATGCATACTGTTGTGTTGTTGCAGCGGCCGGAATAATTATGTTGCTCCATTAACAAAAATCAACCAAGCTCTGGAAATAAGCTCGGATGTTTCAACTCCCTTTTCCCCCCTTTCTAGCATGGCCTGTTTTCTGACGATCTATCATCATTTCATCGTAGAGCTAGAGCTGCCAAGCTACTCCTACCAAAAGTACTCCTTCGTTCCAAATTACAAAACATTGGGCCAAAGTTGTTTGTTATACATCTAAATATATACTCACGTCTAGACACATAGTAAAATCAATATTTCTAGAAAAGTCAAAACGTCTATAATTTAGAATGGCTGGAGCACTACTCTGTATCTTGGTCTAGCCTGGGCAAAATAAGTAGTAGTCTCTTAATCTCAAAATAAGTGTACATCTTATTTTCAAAGAAATCAATTTCTTTTAAGGTTTGATCAAATATAAAAAATACTAACATTTAGATACGTAATAAATAACATTAGACTGAACTTGGAAGCACTTTCATAGTAAACTTATTTGGAAATACAATTATTAATACTATTTTGTACTCCCCATTCCTAAAATGATGCAATTCAGGAATAGTGTGATGTTCAGTACGTTAAGTATGACCAAATATATATAAAAAGGATATTAATATTTATAGTATGAAATAGATACTATTAGTTTTGTCATGAAACATACTTTTATATAATATATAAATTTGATAGCATAAACATTAATAATTTTACTTGGCTAAACTTTCAACACTTTAACCGAGAATTTGTAGTATATGCAAAAAAACAACATATCAAGAAAGTGAGATGTACACTTATTTTAAGAGTGAGCGAGTACTTTGGTGGGGATGCCATGAATGTTCCATGAAGAAATGGGCCGCAAACGGACGGCACTGTTGCTTTCTTTTGACAAGCTGTTATTGTTCCTTTTTTTTTTGTCTCCTCGGTACAGCAAGCAGGAAACTACCCCTTCGATTTTATTTACAGAAAGCATCCCCCTACAGGCAACAAATTCTGATAGAAAATACATAAACAACCTAAAGCTTGAGAAAATAACCCATATGTTCATTATTTAAGGTTTCAACAAAGTGATCGAGTGATCAATCATCAACTATATATTACGGTCCTACGGATCATCTCATCAGAAGGAAGGGGAAAAAACTATCTTCCAGATAATTGTTCCAACAACGTCTATTTCAAGAATGTCTGAATAGTCTGTGCCATCTGTAATGTCTGGTCTCAATATTGTAGATGCATGTGGTTCAATTTTGCCAAATCCGAGCTGCAGATCTTTCTTCAATAACTGGAGGCCATAATTAATTTTAACTCCATATAATTATAAAAACACTCATTTGAGCTGGAAAATAAGCGTTAATATGTCATCGTCTCAAAGTACAGGATTTTTTTTTGGGAAATTGTCAAGAAAGTGCCATTGCATGAAATCTTTACAATTGCAAGGCCAAATTTGAGCCGAAAGCAACTACGTACTAGTAGCTAGTAACATGCAACACAAGAAAGAGGACTATTATTTCCGGGAAACTAACTGTTTTGAATCAGAGAGGGGCACATCCTGCCGTTGCTACCGATTAACTAAAATAACTGATGGTCCTTCAAGAGATCAAGATGCTCTAACTAACACTGACACACACTTGCTTAACTAAAGTTTTTTTTAAAGTCCTTTGCTTAACTAAAGTCTGTGCTAACTCTGCACACCTGCTGCATAACGATGCCGAAAACTGTCCATAACGACGTTTTGATTCCTTTTCCTAAAAAGAATACTGCACCAATGTAGTCTATATGTGTATTTCTCTAGCTCCAAGATACAATTCCGCCGCGTGTTTGGTCAACTACCAAACAAAAGGATCTAGTATATCTTTGAAATGAAAATGCTTTGTTGCAAGTGTTTCTAAATGTGGAACCATTTTTTTTCGTGTAACCATATTGCTCTATACTTTAACATTCAAGTGGCGCATCGAAAGACGCGTTTTAACCGCCATCTTGTGTTATCTCTCATTCAAATGTCTTTTTGTAATGCAACTAGCCCAACTCCTCTCCAAAAAACACGCACCACCATCGTCACTAATTTCATATCTCTCTCCCTTCACAAATGAAGACAATAATATATATGAAAAAAAAGAGAATCAATTCAGTCTACTACACATTTCGAAGCCATGACTAGACCTAGATCCATGACCACAGCAACGACTAACTAGCTACGTGATCACATAAACTAGAGTTCGCGGGGATAAATTAAACTAGACCGGAGCAGTTCGTTCGTTTGCTAAAACACACAAGCCATCCTCCCTCTCGATCGTCTCAAATAAAAATAGTTGAAAACTTGGCAGTCACGCGGTTCCTTGACACGACGGATCCGGCGCCTATTGGCGCCACCGAGCATATAGTAATGGGGGAGAACGCGTTACACGTAGGACCGCCGGGAACAGAAGACCTTGACTTGCCAATGCCATGCTCAGGTCTTCTTGCATGCGATGGTGGTTACCAAGGACCAGCAGCTGCAGCGGTATGAGATCTGAGAGCCCCACACACTGTGTAGCCCGGCATGTGACCACCGCTCCTCTCCTCTGCAGTGCAGCAGAGGCCATTGCCACCGAGTACTGATCTGTTGCAAACAAATGCCTTGTTTAGATTGCAAATTTTTTTTATAACATGGACACTGTAGCACGTTTCGTTTGTATTTGACAAACTTTGTCCGATCATGGACTAACTAGGCTCAAAACATCCATCTCGTAATTTACAACCAAACTGTGTAATTAGTTATTTTTTTTACCTACATTTAATGCTCCATGTATACGTCCAAAAATTGATGTGATGGAGAAAGAGCGAAAAAACTTATTTAAAGGTGATCTAAACAAGGCCCAAGCTGAATCATTTGCTGCCCTGAATCTGATGCGTGTTTACGAGTGTCGTCCCTGCGCTTCAGGAACACAAGATCTAGCTAGGTCCCTACATGTCCCTTCGGTCAGAAAGCGCGTTCGAGACCTGTTAGAGTATTATCTATTTTCCTCATTTCTTCTCACTCGTCAAGGTGAACTGAATAGTAGTACAAAACTACGAACAGTGCAGCAAACCTGCATATGGATATTCTGCCTTTATGTTTAACAAAAAGCACAGTGGACAAATCAGAAGTGCCTATCTGCGGTTTGGATTTCCTACTACAGACAGTCGTTTTACGCCATGGGACGGGGGGGGTTTGAAGCCAAGGCCATGCTCCTCCTCCTCCTAGGCCTGTTCCACCTCAATGATGTGGAGCAGGGCCTGCCTAGGAAAGGGATGTAAAGCTGCCAACATAAAGCAAAGCTTCCTTCACTCTCATCTGTTTAGTGAGTCGCCGGCTCCTGCGCTTGTGTGAACACAAGATCTAGCTAGGTCCCTACATGTCCCTTCGGTCGAAGCGCGTTCGAGACCTGTTAGAGTATTATCTATTTTCCTCATTTCTTCTCACTCGTCAAGGTGAACTGAATAGTAGTACAAAACTACGAACAGTGCAGCAAACCTGCATATGGATATTCTGCCTTTATGTTTAACAAAAAGCACAGTGGACAAATCAGAAGTGCCTATCTGCGGTTTGGATTTCCTACGGACAGGTCGTTTTCGCCGTTGGACAGGGGGGGGGGGGTTTGAAGCCAAGGCCATGCTCCTCCTCCTCCTAGGCCCTGTTCCACCTCATTTTGCTAAATTTTTCAAGAAGCCAAGGCCATGCTCCTCCTCCTCCTAGGCCCTGTTTAGTTCCACCTTATTTTGCCAAATTTTTAAAGAAGCCAAGGCCATGCTCCTCCTCTTCCTAGGCCCTGTTTAGTTCCACCCTATTTTACCAAATTTTTCAAGAAGCCAAGGCCATGCTCCTCCTCCTCCTAGGCCCTTATTAGTTCCACCTTATTTTGCCAAAATTTTCAAGATTCCTGTCACATCGAATCTTTGACGCATGCATGAAGCATTAAATATAAATAAAAAATAAAACTAATTACACAGTTTAGATAAAATCCACGAGACGAATCTTTTAAGCCTAATTAGACTATGATTGGACACTAATTATCAAATAACAACGAAAAGTGCTACGGTTGCATTTTGCAAAAAATAATCGCATCTAAACTGGGCCCTACTCGTGCCTGTCGCCGTCTCACGCAGAATCTCCATGTCAGTCTTACGACGCGTGTAGGCTTCGACGGACATCGATCAATTCACGACGGTGCACATCGCGCCTGTCGATTCTGTTTCGATCGATGCACGAATAATCCAAAATAACGGAAGAATCGGCCAATTCCTCACACGGAGAATTCACTATCTCAACGACCATGGTGAATCTCTCCAAATGTGATTAGAGAATCTAGAAGCCAAGCATATTGTTTCTGCAACGAGAGCGAAATTTTTGTGTGTGCGCGCGCGAGAGAGAGAGAGAGAGAGAAAAAAAGAAAAGCTTAATAGAAGGTTCAGCT